GATGAGACCTTTGCTCCTGTGGCCCATATGACCACTGTCCGCACTCTCTTTGATGTTGCCTCTGTTCGTCATTGGTCTGTGTCTCAGCTTGATGTCCAGAACGCCTTTCTCAATGGTGAGTTGCGTGAGGAGGTTTACATACAGCCACCACCCGGATACTATGCTCTTGATGGCATGGTATGTCGCCTTCGCCGCTCCCTCTATGGCCTCAAACAAGCTCCTCGCGCCTGGTTTGAGCGCTTTGCCTCTGTTGTCACTGCCGCCGGCTTCTCACCCAGTGATCATGATCCCGCGTTGTTTGTTCACACATCTCCTCGTGGTTGGACTCTTCTCCTTCTCTATGTTGATGACATGATCATTACGGGTGATGACCTTGACTACATTGGCTTTGTTAAGGCTCGCCTTCGTGACCAGTTCCTCATGAAGGATCTTGGTCCTCTTCGTTATTTTCTTGGGATTGAGGTCTCTTCGACCTCCGATGGTTTTTTCATCTCCCAGGAAAAATATATCCAGGACCTTCTTGATCGAGCTGCTCTTGGTGATGAGCGCACTGTTGTGACTCCTATGGAGCTCAACGTCCAGCTTCGTGCTTCTGATGGTGATTCTCTTCCCAATCCTACTCGCTATCGCCACCTCGTTGGGAGTCTTGTCTATCTCGCTGTCACGCGCCCTGACATCTCCTACCCTGTCCATATCCTCAATCAGTTTGTCTCGGCCCCCACCTCTGTCCACTATAGCCATCTCCTCCGTGTTTTACGATATCTTCGTGGCACGATCTCCCATCGTCTCTTCTTTCCCCACCCCAGCTCTCTCGAGCTCCAGGCCTACTCGGATGCTACCTGGGCTAGTGATCCCTTTGATCGACGTTCACTGTCTGCTTACTGTGTTTTTCTTGGTGGCTCCCTGATTGCCTGGAAGACAAAGAAACAAACTGCAGTTTCTCGCTCGAGTACAGAGGCTGAGTTACGAGCAATGGCTATGTTGACGGCTGAAGTGATCTGGTTACGATGGCTACTTGAGGATTTTGGTGTGTCGACTACTACCTCGACTCCCTTACTGTCAGACAGCACCGGAGCTATCAGTATTGCCCGTGATCCGGTGAAGAATGAGCTCACCAAGCACATCGGTGTGGATGCCCACTTTGTGCATGCTGCAGTACAAGATCAGGTTCTTGCTCTCCACTATGTGCCCTCTGAGTTACAGTTGGCTGACTTCTTCACGAAGGCCCAAACTCGAGCCGTCGAGTGCAGCACGGGTTCTTTCTCTCCAAACTCAGTGTGGTTGATCCACCATGAGTTTGAGGGGGGGTGTTAGATGTGTTAGATATGTATAGTCTCTCTTTTCTGTTTATCCCCATTGTACACATGTATATGTACTGGCCCTTGGCCCTCCTAAGAATGTAGTTGCTCATTTCTCTAACAGCTTGCACGACAAGCGTGGCGACTTTTGGAGCGACCTGATTTTCTGTGTGCCATGGTGCTCAGAGCAAGGTATTACCTCAATGGTTCGCTGGTTGATACGGTTTTTGCAAGCAACGCTTCTTCTTCATGGCATGCCATACAATATGGTCTGGAGCTACTCCGAAAGGGAATTATCTGGCGTGTTGGGAACAGCGAGCTCATTCGGGTCTGGCAAGACCATTGGATTCCCAGGCCCACCTCTTATAGGCTAATCACTCCAAGACGCAATAGTCGAATACGACGTGTTGCTGAACTTCTGGATAACAATGGCAGGTGGAACCAGGAGCTAGTCCGACAAAACTTCATGATGATGGACGCCCAGGAGATTTTGAAGATCAAGGCATCGCCACGACGTCTTGATGATGTACTGGCTTGGGCGCCCGATCCACGCGGTATCTTCACCGTGCGATCTGCGTATCGCTTGGCTTTGGAGGAGCAAACCTGCACAACCATGTGTGCCACGAACAGGACACCGGACGGCAACCGCGCCGTCTGGAAGATAGTGTGGGGGTGCCCTGCTCCCCCAAAGGTATGAGTCTTTGCTTGGAAACTTGCGACGAACTCGTTGGCTATGATGGAAAATAAGATGATTCGAAAGCTGGAGAAAACTGACATCTGTACTGTTTGTGGACTAGACCGACAAGAAACGTTCCATGTTTCTTGTAGGTGCCCGCTTGCTGTGCAGCTATGGCGAGCGATGAATGAGCAAGTCTATATGCCAAACATTGAAGAAGTGGTCAATACGGGGCCAGAGTGGCTGCTTCACTTGCTGTCCAACAGTGATAAACAGCAGCATCTACCACTGCTGGTGACAATGTGGAGAATATGGCATGTTAGGAACGAGATCACGCACCATAAGAAGCCCCCGCCAGTCCATGTATCGACGCGTTTTTTATGCAGCTACATTGAGTCCCTGATGTGCCTACAGCAACACCCTCATGGGGATCTCGAGAAGGGGAAGATGGTGGCCACATATGATAACACGAGACTGAGAAAGAAGGAGCAGAAACAGCAGGAGGACCACATCAGTGGAAGACCACCAGATAGGTGGATCAAGCCCCCAACTGGGTGGAACAAGCTAAATGTGGATGGGGCCTTTGCCATGGAGACAAGCACTGGAGGTGCCGGTATGATCCTCCGTGATGAGGATGGAGCAATCGTCTTCGCATCGAGTCGCCACCTGTATACTTGCGCTAGCCCGGTTGAAGCGGAACTGGCGGCTTGCATGGAGGGAATTGCCTTGGCTTATGAATGGAGTTCCAAGCCGTTCATCGTCGAGACAAATTCCCAAGTGTCAATCAACATGATCAAGCAAATGGAGAGTGACCGCTCACCATCGGCGGCCATTGTCGGCGAAATAAAGAGTTTACTCGCCCAGGGTGGAGAGTACTCAGTAGTACATGTGCATCGTGGATGTAATACTGTAGCTCATCGCTTTGCTCAGATTGGACATCACCACATGCGCACGGCTGTTTGGCTTAGATCTGGACCGAGTGAGATTGATTTGCTTCACCGTCATGATTGTAATCCTCAAGGTTAAGCAATAAAATCTCATTTTCCCGCAAAAAAAAAAGCTAGCTTGCATGGCATCTACCCTGCCAATAGAAGTGATGGTAGTCCAGATGCCGAGAAGAAGAACTAGGTTTTGAGCAGCATAAACAGGCTACGCAAGGCCATATGGAGATTGTTACAACCCATTATGCCATCAACCAACTGCACTGGTCACTTGCAGATCATAGTTACAAGAAACTATGTGCAATGACCACTCACTACTGATAGCTACTCCCTCCTGTAACTTTTCATAAGAGCATGTTAATAGTACAGCCAACTGATGGCTATATGATGTTGCCATGTCATCTATAGCCAACCTTATAGCCGGCAAGTACAATAGTTAGATATAAAGATGTGCTACTTTATTAATACATGGCCCACCTTTCATCCTCACATAGTGCCTAGGAGCACATGCTACAACTGGCTCTTATTCTATAGCCGGCTCCTCTTCTCTCTCCTATTCTCTCCCCTCCATGTCAGCAGAAAAATAATGTTTTAACTCTTATAGCCTGCTTACATAAGCTTATTGTACTTGCTCTAAGGCGTTTTTAGAGTCCATGATGGTATAAAAAACATCTTATATAAGTTAAAGAGGAAGCGTTTTTTACTATGGTTGCACCTATTCCATCGACATGATAACCTAAATTGTAAAAAAACTGCATACAATGTTCAGTAAGAACCCCTTCACGTACCTCCACATGCTCTTGTCCAAATCATGTACGTGTATCGACCCTGACATTGATGATAAAATGTAATTGTAAAACTGGTTAGAAGAGGTCAGATTAAACATTAACACACCAATTTGTGCTTGGAAGTCAAGCTCACAAATAAATTACAGTGGATATACAATACGCCAATACCAACTAATTCTTGACTCAAATTGACGCTAACATCAATGCTGGAATGCAATTGTAAAACTGGTAGTAGAAGAAGTCAGATTAAGTATTAACACACCAATTTGTGCTTGGAAGTCAGACCCATGAATAAATTACAGTGCATATGCAATTCACCAATACCAGCTAATCCTTGACCCATTCCCTCAAAGAAAAACTAATCCTTGACCCGAATTTTGTTTTTATCATGATGACCAGAGCGGATCTAATGAAACGGAGACCAGAGCTTTCTTTCACAAGAAACTAGTGCTGTATCTGGCAGGCCAAAGCTTAAGCCTCTGGTTTCCATGCTAATTTCTTGAGAACACCATGCAGCTACTCAGTCGCTCGAGCTGGAATAGATTTCCCATACCTTTCTTTGGTTTGGCTATTCTGCTACTGGTCTCCTTGGCTTCTCCCACCAGCTCTAGCACGGAGCAGGAGAGGAGCTCGCTTCTCCAGTTCCTCGCTGGGCTCTCACGGGACGGTGGCCTCACGGTGTCGTGGCGGCACAACACCGCATGGAAAGGGATCACCTGCAACCAAGATAGGAAGGTCACCGATGTTTTGCTGGCTTCTCAAGGCCTTGAGGGGTTCATCTCGCCGTTCCTTGGCAACCTCACTGGCCTCTTGCACCTCAACCTGTCGCGCAACTCGCTGTCCGGTGGCTTGCCATTGAAATTGGTGTCATCCAACAGCATCCTTGTTATTGATGTCAGCTTCAACCGCCTGACAGGAGGCCTGAGTGAGCTGCCATCTTCAACCCCTCCACGGCCTCTGCAGGTACTGAACATCTCAAGCAACTTGTTTACAGGAAGGTTTCCATCCACTATATGGGAGGTGATGAAGAGCCTGGTCTCACTCAATGCCAGCACCAACAGTTTTACTGGACAGATACCAACTACCCCCTGTGTTAGTGCGCCATCTTTTGCTGTGCTTGAACTCAGTTTTAACCAATTAAGTGGAAACATCCCTCAGGGGCTCAGTAATTGCTCCGTGCTGAAATTGCTCAGCGTTGGCTACAACAATCTCAGTGGATATCTTCCAGATGAGCTTTTCAATGTTAACTCGTTAGAGCACCTCTCTTTACATAGCAATTGGTTAGAAGGAGATCTCAATGGCATCAGCAAGCTCACAAATCTGGTCACCCTTGATCTTGGGGGGGAATGAGTTCATCGGCAATATTCCAGAGTCTATAGGTGATCTGAAGAGATTGGAGGAGCTGCATTTGGACCACAACAACATGTCAGGGGAGCTGCCAACAGCTCTAAGCAACTGCACGAATCTCGTGACAATTGACCTCAATAGCAACCACTTCAGTGGAAAACTTACCAAGGTCGACTTCATAAGCCTGCCGAATCTAAAAAAGTTAGATCTTCTTTTCAATGACTTCACCGGCACAATTCCAGAACGCATATACTCCTGCAGTAAGCTGACTGCACTAAGGCTATCTTACAATCATTTTAATGTTCAACTGTCAGAAAAAATAGGCGATCTGAAGTCCCTCTCATTCTTATCACTTGCTCATAGCTCTCTTACAAATATCACAAGAACACTTCAGATCCTTAGGAGTTCTAGAAGCCTCACCATCCTTTATATTGGGTTCAACTTCCTGCATGAGACCATGCCAGAGGATGACAGCATTGATGGTTTTGAGAATCTCCAGGTTCTTTCCATGAATTATTGTTCATTGTCTGGAACAATACCTGACTGGTTATCAAAGCTCGCTAATTTGGGGATGCTATTTTTGCAAAACAATCAACTAACTGGATCAATACCTGACTGGGTCAGCAACCTACACTTGCTCTTCCATCTAGATATATCAAACAACAGCTTTACAGGGGAAATTCCAAGTGCCTTAATGGAGATGCCAATGCTAGAATCAGATAAGACTGCACCAAAGGTCTTCTTTGAGCTGCCTGTTTGGAACAAGAACACATTTATGCAATACCTCATGCTCAGTGCTTTTCCTAAGGTGCTTAATCTAGCCATCAATAATTTCACTGGTGTGATTCTGGAGGAGATCGGTCAGTTAAATGCACTCATCGCACTCAATTTAAGCTCAAATGAGTTATCTGGAGAGATCCCTCAAGCAATCTGCAACCTCAGGAACCTGCAGGTGCTCGACTTATCTGTTAACCATCTTACTGGTGTAATTCCAGCTGCACTAAACAATCTGAACTTCCTTTCTGAGTTTGACATTTCTAATAATGACCTAGAAGGCCCTATTCCAACCGGGGGCCAGCTTAGCACGTTTCCAGATTCGAGCTTTGATGGAAACTCAAAACTGTGTGGTCCTATGAGTCTAAGCCGCTGTGGCTCAGCAGGAGCAGGTCTGACCTCCACTTCCTACAGAAAACAGTTCAGATGTAAGGTCAAACAGTTCAGATGTAAGGTCATCTTCGCGATCTCTTTTGGTATTTTCTTTGGAGTCGGAGTGCTATATGGTCAGATGGTTTTGGCTAGATATTTTGGCTAGACCATGGCAATTGTTATCACTGCCATGAACTGTGACATAATCTAAAGTGGTTCTCAATTCAGATGAGTAAGTCAGTGTCTCCAGCTTCAGCAAGATCAACATCCCTGGCAAGCCTGGCATCTCTAGTTATTGACGTTCAATCTGTACTCCATGTAAATGAAATAATTAGTGAGTGAGAAACGTCAACAGTGTGTAACTATTTGTTCAGTATTACTACGATACATATTCGAGGAGTGATAGAGTGCTTTTCCTGGGCTCAGGGTTGGATACATAACACGCAAAACCGACACCGACACCGGAACCATACAACCATTGGCAATTTGCAGTTTAGCAAACTAATTAGCATGAAGTTGAGATTTAACCAATTAAGCAGACTGTGCATCAATAGATTATAATTAATCATAGATTATAATTAATCATAGATTATAATTAAGCCGCTGCTCCGTGATTTCTACAAGAGATTATTTCGATTCATTTACCTCGAAATTCGGGAGCAGACGGGATGCGCCGGTCGGGCCTGCGTCGAACACCTGCGTGCTTGGTCTCCGGCCACCGCACGCGGACGCAGTGGCGGATCCACCACCGGGGAGAGCCAGGAGGCCGTCCCGGGTCTCCAGCGGCGGAATATCAACCCCCGCGGCCCCGCCTACCTATCCTCCGGTGGCGAGCAGATTTCATGGCTGCGGCGACCAGTTTTCATGGCGGCGGCGTTACTTGCTGTCTCGCGAAGCGATATGTGAGGCAAGGGCTGTTTTTTTCTTTTCGTTTTTGATGAGACAAGGCAAGGGCTGGCGAGGGAGAGAAAGGAGTCTGGGCTAGGCTGCAGCGTCTGGGCCCAAATGGACACGCTGCCGGACACCAAACATCGATCCAGCACTCAACATTATTTTTTCTACATCAGTACATATAGAAGCGCTCATGTACACATTATTTTTTGTCTAAAAAGATTTCTAAAAAAAAAACTGTGTCTAAGAAAATACTGTCTCAAAAAAAAAGTACTCAACATTAATGAGATGGAACGGTCACCCACTTCCTTGGCGACAGTGAGAGAACTACCATGTTGTGGCGTCAATCCCCTCAAAAGAAATATGCCGTGGCGTCAATAAAAAAAACTACTGTCAGCTTTTATCATTAAAATGGATATTAATCCACTCTTCATCAATAAAAAAATATCTTTTGGTTCTAAGAAACAAATGAGAGAGCATGAATTAAAAAAAACTCTTTTCTTTATCTTTTAGTTTTGTAGAGCGAACATTTTAATGAAAGAAAAATAAAAGGATTTAGCTCATATTGACCAAAAAAGGCTTTTGTCCCGCTTTATATATAACGCAAACCGCCACAAGCATAACCAGTTCCAACATAGGCAGCAAAGCACATGCACAGAGTACACACACACAAGTCATACAAAAGGGGGTTCTACTAAGGGCATCAGGTCAACAAGCCCTAAGAAATAAAAGCAGTACAAGCCGCGTAGGGGCTCCGTGGAGCTAATCCTGGTCCAGAGGTGGCGACGGAAGCGGAGGCATCAGACGAAGCGCCAAGGATCTAAAGCCGGCGATGATCGCATCGAAGGCGGCTCTTTCCTGATCGCGGCTAAGCGGCTTCCACAATTGCAAAAAACCACAGTTTATAGATCGCATCAGAGGGTTGCCGCAAGGGAGCACACTCAATTAATTACAAGCTTGTTTTGGATCATCCACAATGTCCAAGCTAGCACCGCGATCACCAGCGACCTAATATGGCGAGATCCATGGGCGGAAGCTTGGAGCTCCTCATATAGGCTACATGTTGATGGCATGCGTTGCCGCATCCATCGATTTGGAATGTTCTTAAATATAGAAAGACATGAATCATGAGCTTTAACTACATTTGCAGCTATGACCCATATATTTGTTAGCAGAAGAGAAGTGAATTGTGAATTTAATTGGTTTGTAAAGTATTGCGTAGTTTGGTGGTACATGGTTTTTTCTTTCATTTAATGGGCTTCAATTGGTGCGAGCAATTGCATAACATAACCAAATGTGAAGAGCTAGCCAAAATGAAGTCATGGGTATTGTGGTTTGGGATTTGGGAATAGTATTTGTCAAACTCTCATGTAAATTAGATTAGGTGGGGTCTTGTAGATATGTCATTGATTTGAATTGGGGGGATGAATTATTTGATTATTTACAATTTGCCTTATGTGTTATTTGTGATTGTGGATTTCAATTATTCAGAATATGTTTCTTTGACTTGTGAATATATTTCTTGATTGTTGTCCCATTTCTAAATCTAAATACTATTAACTTGTGATCAATACACTAGTAGAAAAGGGAGCATTTGTCCCGGTTCGTAAGGGCCTTTAGTCCCGGTTCTAACACGAACCGGGACTAAAGGCCCTCCACGTGGCCACTGCGAGCAGCCCAGGCAAGGGGGCCTTTGGTCCCGGTTGGTGACATGAACCGGGACCAAAAGGCTTCCACGTGTCAGCAGCTGAGGTTTTTCTTTTTCTTTTTAAAAAAAGTGGCTGGTTTAGGGGTTACATCAGATGAGGCACACAATCATTCGGGATTATCTGTTAAAAAATATAGTAATAACTTCGTAGTTAGCAATGATGTACTAGTTTTAGAAGTATTTAAAAAAAGTTGCAGGGATGTCGTAATAGTAAAAAATCTTACCAGGGTATCTCCATGGTAGTTACCGTAGTTCAACACGTGCACTAGTGGCATGTATTGACCATAATATTGAAGAGTTCGATTGTAGACATTGTAATTCTCAAGATCAATACAAAATGCGATCAGATGATTTTTCTCCTTATAAGTTAATTCGGAGCCATTGGTGTAGTGGGTTTTGTCTATCATTTTCCGCATATTCTTTGAAGAATGAAAATAAGCTGTCAATGGAAACAAGCTGTCAACTATTTTGAAATAAACAATATAAATTACTTAATAACTATGTTAAAAGCTCACATGGGGGAAGAATTGGAGGTGTATCCACAAGGACCCAAATGCCCATATTATCTTGCTAGATTGTAGGATCACCAAGATCCATGGTGACAAGCATACCCTCATCAAAACCATACATCTTGCAAAGTGCTTCCCAATTTTTGTAACCAAAATGGGTTACACTCTCAGCATTGTACAACTTTACTTGAAAATCCACACCATGATGGGTCCTTAGGAGAATTTTTTTGGTTTCCATACTTTTATGGTCTTCAAAACCCATCCTCTCCAAGACATAGCGTCTTGCATAGCATGGGATAAGCTAGTCGAATTGGACAAGATAAAAAATACACGTTAAAATAGTTGAAGTCGTGCTTAATTACGAAAAAAACTATTGTCGTCGTTGTGTATCGTATGAGCATCGAAGGTCTCCTCGAGCTTAATGCTGAAGCGCCGATCTTCGTCCAACTCAATGAATCTGTCGCACATACCTCGGTCGTCGTGGCACCAGTCGCACTCCCCCGGGCGGTTTTCGTCGTCCGAGTACGACATTTCCGGCCTAAGTTCATAATTTAAATATTAAATATATGTACTAAAAAACCTAAATTAGATCATTATTATTAATCACGGGTTGACTGTCGGTGATGGTATGTAGCTGCTTCTTTCATTCCCGAGTGCATTATTACAACAAATTGTCTAGCACACGGGAATGAAGGAGAAACTACCCCCACGACGGCGTGGATGATGGAGGGGGCTTCTAGATTTATGCATAGAGTACTCTTCAATTTTAGCATTCAAAGTAGGAGTACTTTTCCAATATGAGAATTCAATAAGTAAAACCAAATCGTAAAATAAAGTAGTATTCAAACTAGCATGCATTCAATTATAACCAAAAGTACATCATCTCTTGTGTCCGTACATCGTCGAATACTCCTCGAATACTATCATACATATAGCATCGCTAATTAATACAGCTAGAATCGTAGCGCCCGACGGGTATCATCGCGGGCGGTGGACATCCAAAGATAAGGAACGATCACAGGATCATAGCTCCAATGAGATCCCTGAAGAACCTGCCAGGTATTGTCGAACCTGCCCTCCAACGCAACCATGTAGCGATGGACGTGCTCGTCCTCCTCGCTGACACGGTGACCTACCACCTCCGCGGTGTCCAGAAGCCTCGGCACCGTCACTGGCCCACGCGACCGCCACCAAACAAGGATCGGGTCAACAACGGGCTGCCTCCTCACCAACCTACGTCCCCTAGAAGGTACCACCTCCCAATACCAGCCCGGCGGAGCCCAGTCCCGAACATGGCCCTGATCAAGCAGACCTCCGCCATCACCGAGTCGACGATGACGAGGATGCGGGATAGGCATCGTCGACGTCGATGCGAAAACTACTTCTATATATAGTTAAATAAAGTAGTTTTATTAATTAAATCAACTAGTTCAACTACTAAGCACTTACTATAAATAAATAAAGTAGTACTTATTAAAAATAAACTACTTCTATATATAGTAAAATAAATTGGTTTATTAAATCAACTAGCTAGTACAACTATATATGAAGCACTTACTATAAATAAAATAAAGTACTACTTACTAAAAATAAACTAGTTTAACTATAGTTCTATTATTTTTTTAACTAATTTTCCTATACATACACAATAAATTGACAAACAAAATACTATGAACAACATGAAAAATTTGACATCTAAATTACTTACACAATATGAAAAAAAATTGACATCTAAATTACAACAGAAAAAAATCATAAAAATTTGACATCTAAATTACAACAGAAAAAATCATAAAAAAATCTAACACAATATGGACAAATTAATTACACAATATGAAATAAAATCTAACAGAAAAATCTATGAACTACACATCTAAATTACTACACATCTAACACAAAAATCAATGAACTACAAAAAAACATTAACATTCTATGAACAAAACTAGAACAGAAAAAAATCAAACAAATTCTATGAACAGAAAAAATCATAAAAATTTGACATCTAAATTACTTACACAATATGAAAAAAAATTGACATCTAAATTACAACAGAAAAAT